AATAAACGGCTTCGGAGACATTAGAAATGCGAAGCCGGTTAAATCAGTCTCTTGAACAGTGAAGATAGTCAATCACATTCATACCTGCCATTGGGGGGTGCTGAGTCAAAGTGCTTCCACTGATTTGACTGGGCCTTAGTTTCTGGATCATAGTGATGGACGCAAGTTTCATCCTGCTTAATTAGCCAGTCAAAACAGCCCTCCTGCTTTTCTTGACACACGGCTAAATAAGCCTTTGAACAATGGACTCGCTGCAGCTCCTGGAAAAGTGTGAGTAGCCTGGGAACCCATCGAGCAGATAGCTTTTACATATGCAGATGGTCATGAATGATTTTGTCCACAGACCCAACATTAATCTTGACATCTTGGGTTGGTTGACGAACAGTAATACGCCGATCTTCCCAAATGGCAGTCTCCACTTGATGGATGGTGTCCTCAGCAATTGCAGGCTGGGGTCGCCAGGGATAGGAGTCGTTTCCACAGATTTCCGGCCACGCCTGAGCTGGCGATGTCAGTGTTTAACAACGCCATATGATGGGGCTTCCTCCCCGTAAGTTGCTTTCTTATGGGGAGCGGCCTTTCAAGGATAAAGCCATGGTCACTGCTCGATACTCCACTGGTTCCATTTTCACACCTTACTGCACCTTCACCCTTGATATAGAAGTGAATGAAATTTCAGCCTCCTACGATAAGCAGAAGTGGGTCAGGAGAATTCGTTAAGGTGCGCCCCTCGCATATATTTATATCATATACATACATACATACAAACACTCACACACTCACACACAGATATATGTGTGTGATGGATAGATATAGACTTAGATACAGTGTGTGTGTGTGTTTGTGATTTCATCGATCGGGAGCTCGACTTCATTTTTTAAAACGTTCTCGAAATTACGATATCCTTGTTTTTTTCTCTCTAAAATCAGCCACATTCGTCTGCGAAATGGAAATTTTACACTCATTCCCGTAACACGCAACAGGACAGTGCCAGTAATTTATTGACGATTCCGTACAACCCGTCCCTTGAGGAAAAACGCCATATGTTTAAAGGAGCTGGAATTATTTCTACGTATTCGAACACGATGGGCAATACATTGGTGAAGCACAATGCGGCCGGCGGTGCTCTTGAGACTTCTCCAGGTATTTACACTATCCCGTGCAAGGACTGCCCCAAGTTTTACATGGGAGAAACCGGTAGAGCTTTCGATAAAAAAATAATAATAATAAAATAGCATAAATGTGATGTTAGGTACACCAGAGAATCAAATACACGTTTCATTCATTTACGTGATGAAGGTCGCCAGCTGAACTGGAGAGACGCTAAATTAATTCATAAATCACCGAATTCTTATGAAAGAAAAATGCTAGAAGCTCTGTTAATCAGAAAATTCCCTAACTTCAGCTTGAGCTTGAGTCGGTGGCCTTGGGTGACCTTCCTCTTTGGCCTTGATCCTCCTCCTCAGACAGGATTCAAATCTTGCTTGTTTTGTCTCTCTACCAATATATATATATATATATATATATATATATATATATATATATATATATATATACTGTGCGCGCGCGCGCGCGCGTGTGTGTGTGTGTGTCTATATATATATGTATATATATATGTATGTATGTATATATATACATATACATATACATATATATATATACATACATATATATATATATATATATATATATATATATATATATATATATATATATATAAATATACACTGTGTATTTGTATATGTGTGTCTATAACTGTACACATACACAAACATGTATACATGTATATATACATACATACATATATATATATATATATATATATATATATATATATATATATATATATACATATATATATATATATATATATATATATATATATATATATATATATATGCTGCGTATATGTGTATATATGCGAGTGTGTGTGTGTGTGTGTGTGTGTGTGTGTGTGTGTGTGTGTGTGTGCGTGCGTGCGTGCGTGCGTGCGTGCGTGCGTGCGTGCGTGCGTGCGTGCGTGCGTGCGTGCGTGCGTGCGTGCGTGCGTGCGTCCGTCCGTCCGTGCGTGCGTCCGTGTGTGCGTGTGCGTGCGTGAGTACGTGTGTGTGTATATATATATATATACCATATTATGTATATCTAATACATAAGATGCATATAATACAGCCCCATACACAAACTCTCCTTACGGAGCAACTTTTGGCATTTCTTATTCACAGTCTGTTTACTGCAACAAATTGCTTTCGTGTTGCAAATTAGATTCTAGGAACTGATCATGTTGGTTATTCTGTTTTAAGCGATGAGTGAGGAAGTGTGAGTTAGTACTGTATGTGTGTGTGTGTGTGTGTGTGTGTGTGTGTGTGTGTGTGTGTGTGTGTGTGTGTGTGTGTGTGTGTGTGTGTGTGCGTGCGTGTGTGTGTGTGTGTGTGTGTGTGTAGTTCATGTCAAACAAATTGCAAGTAGAACAACGAAGGGTTGTACAGGAAAACACACGAATATGCCGAAGGAAGGAAACCCCATGAGACTCATCACCAACGGGACCGGGGATGCCCTACACCAGTTAGCTAAGAAGCTTGCAGCACCTCTCACCAGCGTCTTAAACTCCATCAGCAGTTGTCATCTATCAAGCATCACCGATATGATGACCAAACTGCAAAACGCCGGGATGAGATGCAAAAAGCTTGTCACCTTCGACGTAAAGATGCTCTTTACCGACGTACCGATTGACGGGGCTATCGAAGCTGCAAAAAGAACGCTGACAGGAATGGACGAGGATGAATTACCACTGCCGAGAGATGATTACGTCGCACTCATCCGCCTCTGCGTGGAGTTTGGTCCGTTTGAATTCCGAGGACGTGAGTACGAGCAAATCAAGGACTTGCGATGTGCTCACCTCTTTCAGCAGTCCTTGTCCAGCTGTTCATGGAAACTTTCGAGGCTGACCACTAAATGCAGTGCACCCTTCCACACAGTTCATCACAGAAGAGGAGATAAATGAACAGCTTCCTTTCCTCAACACCTTAATCCATAGGAGACCTGACGGTCCGGTGTTCTCTGTGTACAGAAAACACACACATAAAGATAATTTTATACTGTTTCTATGCCCACAATATAACCAAAGAATGTGTGGTCATTGGTTTCTTCCTCCGAGCACTTAGAATCTTTAGCCCGGAGTTCCTGGAGGAGGAAATGCAACACGTCAGTAACACCGTTACCCTCACACCTTGCTAGCCCACCGACGCAAGGCAGAAAAGATCATGTCCAGATCAAGAGGGGACGCCACAAAGAACAAGTCACACGGAATTATCATCCCACACTCGCAGCTGACAGAACACCTGGAGGTCCTGTTGGGCCGCACAGTGAAGATAGCCACCACTTCTGGTAAGAAGATCGGAGATATCATAAGGGAAAAGAGGTCAGACCACAGCAGACCTTTTGGCCAGGTGTACAGCATACCTTGCAGTGGCTGCGATAAAGTATACATAGGTGAGACAGGACGTGCCCTCCGACGACATGACAAGAGGAGCACCTTCGTTGTTCACGTCAACACCGACGGCCATCTGCCTAAGTGGTCCCAGACCTGCATCATAAAACAAGGCCTGCCCCATCGACGAAGGAAGATGGTAGAAGCAGCGTTCATCCATTCAACTTACAACTTCAACGCCGCAACAGGGAGCCACGAACGTGACCTGACCGCTCAGTACATGTGAATATACCTCTATGTATCTCATGTCTTATATGTATGTGTGTGTGTGTGTGTGTGTGTGTGTGTGTGTGTGTGTGTGTGTGTGTGTGTGTGTGTGTGTGTGTGTGTGTGTGTGTGTGTGTGTGTGTGCGCGCGCATATATATGGGATAAATGAAATAATGAACGAATGAATACACAGTTGACTATACAAAACAATTATTCAAAAGATAAGTAAAGGTGAATAAATAAATAAAAACGTAAATCACACGTAAATAAAATAAATCCTGACGTAAAACAAATTTAACTGTTATGTCAGAGAAGACATAAGGTATGGAAAACGAATTAATAAAAAAAACGCTCATCTCTAGCTGGTCAAAGTTCCGGAATAAATTTGAAACCTCTCAGCCATGATTTTCGGATTCCATGATCAGCAGGTTCTTAAACTGGAGTAAATGTTGCTTTTACAAGGACAACATAAAGTATGTACAGATGTGTTATCGTTGTAGCTTATGCCGTGGAATGTTCTAACGAAAGAAACAGGTTGGAGACTTTATATACGCTGTTTAGCTTGTAAATATTGAAATGGATCTTAGACACATCACAGCCAGTGAGAGAACGTGTGGGGGAGGGGGAGGGGGAGGCAAGAAAAGGCCCTACAGAAAGGTGGAAGGAGAGAGGAGGGTGAAAGAGAGGCTGAGAGAAGCAGGCAAAGAGAGAGAGAGGGGGGGGGGGGGAGAGAGAGAGACGACAATTCCCCAATATACATGCCCTGTAAAAGGCCAGGAAAAGAGGTCGGAACATATACCTTACCGGATGAGTTTTAGTCATTTAAAAGGGCAATCAGGCAAACATCAATAATATTTGCCTGAAGAGTTACGTTCAGAGAAAGAGAGAGGAGAGAGAGAGAGGGAAGGAAGGTGGGAGAAGGAGGGGGGAGGGGAGGGGGAAGGAGAGAGAGAAGGAGAGAGAGAGGGAGAGAGAGAGAGAGAGAGAGAGAGAGAGAGAGAGAGAGAGAGAGAGAGAGAGAGAGAGAGAGAGAGAGAGAGAGAGAGAGGAAGAGGGAGGGAGAGAGAGAGGGGGATGGATGGATGGGCGGAGGGAGGGAGAAAGAGAAAGAGGGAGGGAGGGAGGGGAGAGAGAGGGAGAGAGTACGCCTTCATGCTGTACGCCTTCATGGAGAGAGAGAGGGGAGAGAGAGAGGGGAGGGAGGGAGGGACGGAGGAAGGGTGGGTGGAAGGGAGAGAGGGAGTGTGGAAGGGTGGAAGGGAGGGAGGAAGGAATGGAGGGAGGGTGGGAGGAAGGGAGGGAGGGTGGGTGGAAGGGAGGGAGGGTGGGAGGAAGAGAGAAAGGGAGGGAGGGAGAGAGAATGGGTGGAAGGGAGGGAGAGTGGGAGGAGGAAGAGAGAATGGGTGGAAGAGAGGGAGAGTGGGAGGAAGGGAGGAAGGGACGCAGGGAGGGTGGGATGAAGGGACGGAGGGAGGAAGGGAGGGAGGGTGGGAGGGACGGCGGAAAGGAGGGAGGGAAGGAGGAGGGTGGGTGGAAGGGTGGAAGAGAGAGGGGGTAGGGAGAGAGAGGGGGAGAGAAATACAGAGAGAGAAGGGGAAGGGGAGGAGAAAGAGGGAGGGAGGGAGGGGGATATAAGGAGAGGGAAGGAGAGAGATAAGGAGAGGGAAGTAGAGAGAGAGAGAGAGCGAGAGAGAGAGAGAGAGAGAGGAAGAGAAAGAGGGAGAGAGAGGAAGGGGG